AAACCACTTCAGTCCAGCTGGCAAGATCTGCCTACAAATGATATGCAAATAACTGTACTTTTTTTTTCTCTCTCCCTGTTTTATGGTGTGTAAATAATGGCCTCTTACACAACAGGCAGTAAATAGGCAGTTATGTTTCCCTTCATGCTTCGGGTCTGAATCAGGCTTGGGCCTTTTTCAGCAGCCCGGGCTGCCCAGCAGAAAAGTRGATGTCTGAGTTATCCAGCTTGTAGGTGGCAGAGGAAATAAATGTTTTGGGGATCAATGGTGTTGCCGAAGTGGTGCTGGTTTTGGAGTGAAATTAGTTGCTCTCTGTGTCACTCCTACTTTACTGAGTGGAGGAGGCAATGAATAATTTTTCTTYATTTTTTTTTCCTCTGGTACAGAGGGAAAGCAAAATCATTATTGAAGAATATATATTTTTAATGCCCTACATTTTTCAGTCAAGTTGCTGTTGCATGTTTAAGCTATACCCTTTTCTAAGGCCTAATTTGGTATAATCTTCTCTGGAGCAGTCAACTGTGGCCAGACTGTGACCCTCCCAAGCCTCCAGCTGCCCTCTGAGCCGACTGGGCTCCCTTCAAGACCCGGCAGCTAGTGGTGTCCCAGGAACAGCTTTGGAAAGTGCACTGTCCAGAAGGATTGCACAGGGATGGTTTTAGCTGAAAAAAAGTTTGTCCCTGAGCTGTCCGATGATGCGAGGCTGAGCCAGATGGAAGTGCCACGTGGTGGCAACAAAGGGGGAATGCGGTATTTGCCCACGAWGCTGAGAACTGAGTATGTGCCAGTGATTTGCCTAGCAAACAATTRAACCAGGAACACTTGAGGAATATCGTCTTGTGTGCCAAATTCTGAAGAAAATTGGTAATGCTTTTCCTAAAAGCAAAAGCTATTTCTGAGGGATTGGACATATGACCTGTCTATGAATGGCTCCTAAACAAAACAAGCCCCAAAAATGTTTTTTTGAAAGTATTTCTGTACATAACTGGTATCCATGTGCAGGGCTTTTAGGCTCTGATCATGAGCAAGAGAACAGAACCTGTAAAACTGTCAGTATTTAAAGACGAATTCAGTTCTTTGAGCTTGTCTCGAAACAAGCTAAGTCATTCATTTAAAACCTTCTTGGCTGCCTCACAGAAAGAACAAAGACTTTTTTTTTTTTTTTTTTTTCCTAGGAAAATACTGAGCTTGCAGCACTTCCTAACAAAGCGCTGTTTCACTGTGTCAGAGTTGTGCTGGAGTGGTGGCTTGCTGCAAATCCAGCCCATCAGGCATGTGCTGTGTTGCTTTCTTGAGAACTTGCTTCCTGTACGTGAGGATTTTGGGTTATTTTGCAGTCTTCTTCATATCACTTGAGGGTCTTCCCGAGATGAAATTCCATTTTTTGGAGCAATTGGTGGTGAGGGCAACCTATGGGAGATGAGTACTGGTGGCTGGAAAGCTCTGCTTGCTCCCTGCTCTCAAGGCTCCCGCATTGCTTTGCCCTTAGGGCAGGAACAACAGSGCTCTGAGAGGAGTGAGAAACACTGGTTACTGCAGTGCAGTGCGTGCTGACAAGGCATTAAATGCAAGCATTGCCTCATGTGCCTGCGGCCGGCTGTGGAAGTACAAAGCAGACACCAAAGGAAAATCGACAGCACTGCGATGCGAATGTGCCACCCTTGTGATAGGTGCAGGAAGTTTGGGGGAAAAGAATTTGTTTTTACTGTGGGACTCCCTTAGAGGAGACCTGCAGGTTCACTCGAATGTGCWCTTCAATTTTCCATCTGCTTATGAGGTGTCTTGCCTTCTTCCTGCTTCTCAGGAGGGTCAGTGAGCCTCCTTGCATCAAAACAGTAGCAGCTCCTGGGCTTGTAGCCTTTGAGTAGATGCAGTATATACTGCTCAATGAATAACCACCCATATAGATAAACCAGCTTGGGATAACTGCTTTATTACTAAACATGGAACAGAACCAAGGTAGCTTTGCCTTAGCTGTGCAGTGTTCGAGCCCGAATGCACCAGTTAACAATAAATGTGCTGTGTTGAACCTTGCAAGCAGAATAATAGCGGCCCAAAGAGAAAATTCAGACTAAAAACATTTCCCCTTATTCCAGTGCCCTTAACAGTCATCCCACTGCTGCCCTTCACAGGATGATTGCAACCACGTTGCAGCAAAACATGCATAGATTTTTTTTTTTATGTTTACGAAGCAATCTTAGCTGAAATAAACCTGTTGGGAAGCTTGATGAGGGAACCCTAAAGTTACAGCAATGCATTCTCTCTTTTGGAAGCAATTAGCTACATTGTGAGTGCAAGTTGAGTGCTTAAAAATGTAGATTTAAGACACAATCCATTTCTAGATTTGCTTCAACCCATGTCGTGGCACAGCTATAGGATTTTCTGGGAAAACAAATGTGCATTGTGCCAGGCACTGTGTTAGCTGCTGGTATCAGCCTGTACAATAAACCCGGGGCTGCCCAGCAGCTGGGGAAAGGAGTAGCATTGGCTACTAACAATTGCTTGCTTTGAGAAGTAAAAATTTTGTTTTGAGTCTTATTCTTCCTGCTTTGGGTTGCTCCCRGTTATCTGCTGCAGATTAACAGCAAATTTGAGTTTCCAGACTGAGTACTGTCAACATTTTTGGAATTTGAATCAACTTGCCAGCGGTGTTGAATTTCTTTATAAGGAAACAAGTTGTCTCCCAGCTCAGAGCTGTGTTTTTGGCTCTGCAGTAACACAAGSATATGCTTTTGGCCACATAGTCTGCATTTGCTTGCAGCTCTGTCACTGCTGGTTCTTTCTGTCTCCCTGCTAAGTATTAACTAAGTAAGAGAAGTTGATAACCCCCCTCTTCATCAATTCCTGTTAGTTGCTGCCTTCTTGGCAAAAAGTTGTAGGAGGCAATAACTACTTCCTGTAGGTTAACGAGGCTCCGTGATCCCCAGATAGTTCAGTCTTGCTAATCATTTTCTTTTTGAAACTTTAAGCTGCCAGGGAGGTAGATATGGATAGATATGTGCAGCCCTGATGATATCTGCTGCCAGTTACTGAGATGGTGTTAGCTAAAAGACAAACCTCGAGGGAAAAAGTGTTGTCCTGCACTCRCATGTGGATTTGTCCCTAGTGAATGATAGAGTAGCTTTAGTTGCTCTGCTATTTGCTTTACTAGGGCAGTCTTAAACATTCGGAGTCTTCCCAAAGAGCTCTTGATTGGCACCACCTGCAGGTGGGTTCAAGGATAGAAGGGCAGAAACCTTTATTCCTCAGTAGCTCTCAGTCACCTTGTGGYACAGTGTAGCCCCTCTGTGTGATGTGTGAGTGAGCTGCTTTGTTTGGTGTAGCGCCCTTGCTCAGTTTTCTCTGTGAGTAAGCTCTCTCCTTGCTTTGGTGAAGACATGCAGGAGGGTGGCTGCCTGCCAAGCAGCTGAGGCACAGTGGCTTAGTCCCTGGTCTGTGTGTGCGTCTGCCCCTAAGTGAATGCTGAGCACTTCTAGGTGGATTATCCTCAGTAGACAAGCCAGGCCTTGTAAACCTCGAGGGAAGCCCTTTTGTATGGGAGTAAGTCTTGAAAGAGCTCTCCTCTCCACACTGGGTGAAAAAAGGCTTCTGTCTCAGATTCACTGCTGTGTGAGATTGACATCTAAATCTCCCAAGTGCTGGTTGAGCAAAATCAGGGCAGGCTCCATGATAATAGATGCTGCCATCTGTGTCTGCGTATGGCAGCTGTGTGCTTGGAACAGCCCTGGACCTGCCTTCCCTGGTAGCAGAACTACCCCAGTTTTGGGGAGGCTGCAGAAGAGTTGTTTGGAGGAAAGAGGAGGTCGTGGGCTCATCTGTGGTYGTGTATCATGATAGTGCATGGTAGGCTGTGGTTGGAGCTTTAACAGTTGCTATGCAAGTCAATAACCATATCTCAGGAACCTGAAAGCAGCTCTCAGCAGTTTGCCTTCCCCAGCTTTCACACCCTGAGCAAGGAATAATGTCACAGGCTAAGGAGTCTGTTCTGGGGCTGGGCTGAGAGGAAGCTAAACGAAGAACAACCTTTAGTCCCTTTTTCAGTTGGTATCTCTCTCACTGGCTTTACCTGTTTAGTCATACTCTCAGCAGTGACGTGGACCCGTTTACACAGAGGGAGGAGGGTGGATTTCCTTCTGAGATAGGAATTGTCATAGCTGAGGAGAATGTCATTGGAATCTACAAGAGCCAAAATGARTAGGGGGAAGAAGTGGTCTTTAAGTCTCACTGTTTACACTGCATGCAGTGTTGTGAACAGATACCAGTCTTTTCTTTCAAGATCCTCAAAAAAGCAGCAGCCTGGAAATGCAGTTCARCCTCTTGTTATTGGTGCTAGGTTTTGTCCTCTTCAATGTGTGCAGTTGCTTTTAAGATTAGATCTGTAATGTTGCATCTGCACCTCCTGTTGCAGCTAACACTGGAGTGTGCCACTAAGTAATTTCCCCTCTGAYTTCCAAAGGGAGGGAGAATAAAAAGGCTATTTCATGCTCTGCTGTGTCACTTTTGATCCCTAATTCAAATAAATGTGACAAGCATGGAATTTGATTGCGCTTTATGTGATATTCTAAGATCTGATTRCAAGCTAGAAATGAATAGGAAACTTGGTGTGTAAGCAATGCTTGTAGACTTAAATATGTAGTTGTCCTGATGTAGGTAAAAAAAATCAAACTGTTGCAGTGCCAGAGGATCTGCCACAACCGGCTCCTCGGGGCAGTGGGGGTACGTATGCAAATAAAACTACCCTGAAATAGCATTCACTATAAGTAGTCTGTGCCACCTTCACAATCATTTTGGTTTGGCAGCTGCCTGTGACTGTCTTCAGGGCTCTGGATTCATAACTTTGCCCAGAATAGGAGGGCCTACTGTCTTCTGTCTCCACCCTTAAGCCGTTGGTGGTTGCCGTCAGAATCGCTCATCTTCCAGCATCAGATTTAAGGCAGACAGTACCTGAAAGCAGTTGTGAACGGGTAGCCCTAAAGGCCTTTGCTCTTTTGTCTCTGCAGGCATCTGGAGTGCAGGTTGCCGATGAGGTCTGCCGCATCTTCTACGACATGAAAGTGCGGAAGTGCTCCACGCCTGAGGAGATTAAGAAGAGGAAGAAGGCCGTCATCTTCTGCCTCAGTCCAGACAAAAAGTGCATTATTGTGGAAGAAGGCAAAGAGATTCTAGTGGGCGATGTCGGTGTGACGGTTACCGACCCTTTCAAGCACTTTGTGCAGATGCTTCCKGAGAAGGATTGCCGTTATGCCTTGTATGATGCAAGTTTTGAGACCAAGGAATCCAAAAAAGAAGAGCTGATGTTTTTCTTGTGGTAAGCCATGTTGACAGCTCATTTCTAGCATGAAGTCCAAGGATTGTCAGTGAGGTGTGTGAGCATCTGTATTGCCCATTGCAAGATGACACAAGTAGYGGTCATGACAGCCTGGTGCCTGCATTGAGTTGCAGCCAGGAGACTTTGCTTGTTCATAGTAGCGTGTTTCTTCTGTCCATGCTAGATAGTGCATGTCATTAACTGTTCTCTCTTTGGTGTACTCCATCAGGGCACCAGAACAGGCACCTCTCAAAAGCAAGATGATCTACGCGAGCTCCAAGGATGCAATCAAAAAGAAGTTTCAAGGTATGTAATACAGCTAATGATTCTCGCTGTGCTGTGTGCCTTAGGATGTTTACATTGTAAAACGTATGTAACAGCAAACAGTAAAACTTTTCACTGGTTGTTTTTTTTTTTTTTTCCTTTTTTAAAAAAGATACCACTAACAGATAAGAGCTTCACAGCTGAAATGCCCTGTGACAGGGCTAAAACAAGCTCCCCACTATAGAGTTTAACTGCATTTTTCAGGCTGTAAAACTGCTCAGACCTCTATCTTAGGACAAGAGCAGACTTGGCAATGTGTGAAGCCACAGCTGTGCAGTACAGAGCAGCATGTCCCACCATGCAGCGTAGAAACTATTACATTTATAACCCTGGACTGGATTTTAAGAGCTCCTTAAGCGGAGATCTTAAGCTGCAAGAGGACTTTCAACTTTTGAGAACCTCGTCAATTCAATGTGCTGTAGTATTTAGAAATTGACTTGATTTTCAGATGCAGTTCTGATGATTTGTTGTAATATAGGAGCAAAGCTCCCTGTTAATTAAGCTGCAACATTAAGCAGTTTTACTCTCAATCTCTGCAAAGGCTCATAGCCAGATATTATTGACCTCTGCAGTTTCAGACAGTCAGTTCCTTGTACCAACAAAGTCTTTTTAGTCTGCAAGCCAAGTTACCCCTTTCAGACATCTTATTGCCTTTGTTTAGCTCCCTCAGCTGCCCATAGCCAGGGTAGGGCTGGAGATGAGACATAAGGTAGCCTAGAATAAAAAGGCTCAAAATCTTAGTTGTTGACCTAGTGGCAACTTTATTCTTGATGATTTTACACTGGTATTTGGGGCATTTGGTGGGTAGTCAGACATCTCCTATGACGTGCCAGGATAGATGAGGCAGGACATGCTTGTTTGACTAGACTGCACTGCCTGTTCTAATATTACTACCAAGTATGTGTTTTCTTTTGATTGCTGGTCTATTGAAATGCTGCATTATTGAGTGTTTTGCCTCTCTTTTAGGCATAAAGCATGAATGCCAAGCAAATGGGCCAGAGGACCTCAACCGAGCTTGTATTGCCGAGAAGCTAGGAGGCTCCCTAGTCGTAGCTTTTGAAGGAAGTCCTGTGTAGATGTCATACAGTGCCACAACTCTACAAGCATTCCATGTTTTAATATATCAGTTATGTAAAGCAACCATTCTAGGCAGGGGTTTCACTAACTGTAGGGAAGCTGTCTTGTAGAATAAGTAAGTAGACTTTGGAGATGTAGCTCGTATGTACAAATGACCCTAAATAAATCAAGTCTAAGGATTTATCTTGGTGTATTGATATTTACATTGGTTGTCCAGCCCAATACTGTCCCTGTTGGATTAACACTAACGGCCTCCAAAAATTTTGGTCCAGTGTCACAATATGTGGGATGAAAGGGTGGGTGAGAGCAGTCTATTTCCTATCCTTTTTTTGTTCTAAATTGTAACAAACAAAACAGACATTACTTTGAAGCTCCTAGCCAGACTGCCAAACTCCGAAATCTCCCCCTGTAAYAGGTTAAAATAAAAATTAAAACCTGTAGTTAAAATTATGTTAAAGCAACCTGTTGGCACCAAAACTGGGTTAAATACTTAGTGCTTGTGGTTGCCGAGCAGTGCTAGTACAGGTTATTCACGAAGCTAAGATRCGAATAGGCACACTTTTCTGGATACAGTCCTAATTTGCTCTCTTGTAAACCTCATAGTGCTGTAGTAATCTTAAATTCACTTGCTCTACAGGTGGAATTTTCTTACTATGAAGTGTCTTGAGGTCCTTCCCAGCCTGAGTGATACTATTAAAATTGCTTTACTGTCCACATAGTTTAATTTAGAACTACCTTAGTTTCACTAATACACACGTACTAGAGGATTGGGTGTTTCTGAGGCTTATACAAATGCAGGCTCTTATTTTCAGACTCTCTTGTTATGTATAGTACAGTGAAAAGGAACCACTTGAAACTCTTGTAAGTGGCGTTCTCGGCCCCAGTCTTTGGTCCCTTGGTCCATTTGTCCATAATTACTGTTGATTTAACTTAGTAGAACCAGTCTGATTAATATGGCTTGACCTGGGCTTTTTTGTCTGTTAGCTTCTTTAATTCTGTAGAAAATGCATGGAAATATCACCTACTAGAAAGTTTGATCTGAAATGCCTTTTGTATGGGGGGGGAAGGGGCAGAGAACATTCCTGTGCCAGCTACCGAGATCTTAAAAGCTTCCATGGTTCACCAATGGTTGATTAAAGCTGTTTCCTTTTGTGTAATCTGTACATGGGAGTTGCATAGAGTTTTTCCTGTATGTCTGTAGAGGAGAGGAGGAAAAAAAAAAAAAAAAAGAAAAAAAGAACCCTTAGCCTCCAGTGCATTACTGTGATATGTTCTGTGCGTGCCAAATTCTAATAGCCTGAATAAATGGGGTTTCCCCTCCCCTGGGTCRGTGAGTGATTCCTCTCCAGCTTTCGGCTCGTCCCTCGTGCAGGGCTCAGTGGGACCAATGGGCAAAGTGGTGCCTGCCCCAAGGCCGGCGCACAGGAGGCTGCGCTGCCTTTTGCACCTAGAGGAGCCCAARTGGATGATCATCCCCATAAAAACCCCTCCTTGCTTAGGTACTTACAGTCCTGGAATCTGTCTAAAGTCCACCCTCAGATAAGAAAAGATGACTTGGGGACGTAGGAAGTGGTGCTGCCTGCTGGGCAAAGGGAGCTCCTAGCTGGGCTGTAGCTCACAGAATTTGGAGGAAGGGGGGGTTCTCAAGGGGGGGGTACTTGAGGACCCTCTGGGCTTCGGTTGGGGATCTCTTCCCTGCTGATCCAAGTGGCTGTGGCTCCTTTTAGGGCCCTCACAGAAAGCCTTGAGGTCTCTTTGAAAGAGCTGTCCTGGATGCCAGCGCTGGAAGCAGCTGTTAACCTGTATAGGTGAGTCGGGGGCYGGGTATGATCATCTTCCCCAACTCCTTCCCCCTCCTGAAGTTGGTAGGGATGAGGAGGACAGAAAGGTGTCCTTTTCCTCYCTACCACCTTTTATCACATGCTGGCCGTGTGATAGAGCCACCATCCCAACCTGCCAGCTTCCCCATGCCACCAGGCAAAGCCAGCTGGCCTGTGCCCAAGGGCAAGGTGGAGGAACGGAGGAGGGAGCTTTGGCACCCCAGGTGAGAGGAAGGTGTTCAGGGGAAATTGGGGGTGATCCAGCAGCTTGGAGCTRGGCACAGCTTGGCTGCAGCAGGAGCACAGCTTCTGAAGACCTCTCAAGTCTGGATGTGGGCATGGGTTCTCCAAAAGCTTTCTTCGTCCCACTCTGGAACATGCCACAAAGCTGCTTTTCAACGGGCATGGCCACCCCAACACTCAGCAGAACAAAAAGCCAAGCGGTGACAGAGGCCCAAACCTACTTAGCCAGTCCTGTCCCAACGTGGCGCACACCCAGCTCTCAGCTGGGCTCAGCAGAGGACTTCTAGAGCCTATGACATGAGTCTGCAGGTACCAATTTTGCCCAGCCACCACTTGATGCAAGGAGTAGATGTCCTGACCCCCCCCAAGGACTTGGCATGTGTCAGCATCATCCCTGGAGACCAGGGAGGTTTTGGTGAAGCCCACACAAGTGGAGCATATTGCAGTTCTCTGAAGGGAAGAGGCGGAGGGAGCTGGAGCTGGGACGCTCAGCCCAGGCAGTGCAGGACACCACACCGGCACTTGTTGGCAGCTCTGGCTCTGGGCCCTGCTTTCCACAAACCCCAGAGGAACTGAGTGTTTCAGGGCCCTCCTTCCCTTCCTCCTGCRCGCCGCTGGCGGCCGCGGCGCTCCCGCTGCCGGCCTCGCTCCCCTCGGAGCTCCGTGCCTGCACACACGTCATCGGCAGGGCTGCCCTGCCCKGGGCCTCCTCCCCGCCCAGGCCAGGCCGCTCCGAGCCCGCAGACGTGGCTCCAAGGAAGCTTCCCTGCAACGTGGGAACGGAGCATCCACCTTCCAGCCCAGCTGGGGTGGCCATTTCAGACTGCCCCCAGCACCTGCTGCCCCCGACACCTTAACACAAGCAAACCCATAAAGAAATATATTAAAGAAATAAAGAAATAAATCCCAAGGAGTAAAGCAAGGACGAGCTCCTTTTACTACAACATCAGTTTAATTGCGTCAGCACCCAGCAATAACGCAAAAGGATACGCGCCAAGAGCGGCCCCCAAGAGCGAGACGCTTCCTCCCATTACATGGTCATGGGCCTTTCACACTTCTTTCACTCCCCACCCCCCAAAAAAAGGAAAATAATTGCACGGATTGACGTACAAATACAGTCTTCTGTCTTTCACACATCCATGGATTCTGCTGCTACAGGAGGGTTGAACCTCGGCGGCCACCCCGACATGGTGGCTTCCTGGGGAATTCTTGTACAAAACAGGATGAAGGTATTTTTTTTTTCCTTTACAAACATATACCTGCAGTGTTTACTGTTTTTTTTTTTTTTTAAGGTTTCAAAAATTAGGTTTTGAGTCACTAATGGCTTGTATCTTTTATCTACAGTAAATTGAGCATATATATATATTTTTTTTAATTTTAGGAATGTGTAAGGCATTTTGGTAAGTTGAACAGTAAGGTCTAGGTCACAGAGTGATCAAACTGAAGTCCCTTCCTTTGAACCTTCCTCTTCCCCCTGGAAAATAAAAGCAGAGGTAGGTCATTGAGCAAGGGTCTAACTTAACCTTCAGCGCATCTTAAGTAGCCTGACATTTTATGGACCTTCCCTTCCAGACAGTCCAAATGGTGACAACCTCCTCCCAGCAGTCCCATGGGTTGTCCAGAGCCACCCTGGTTGCTCACAGTAAGCACCACCTCGCCTCTGCTTTTTCACCGCTGGGTGACACACGTTTCCTTGTGGCCTCCACTGGTGTCAAGAGGAAGGACTGGAGCTCCCAGCACAGTAAAGGTCAGCTCTGCCCCCAGGCCTTGCCCAGCAAGAACTCACTCCAGCTCTGAGCTTTYTTCCCAGCAGCCACGAAGGGCTGAGTTGTTCTCCCACATGGCCGTGGCTGGATGCTCATGAGGACCATCCGGCCACCTTATCTAGCTCTAGATGCCACCCCAGCCAAGGGCTCAGTCCCCGCTCCTAGAACAAATACCGTTTCTTGCAGCTGTTCTTTCAATTTCTTCACGGTTTCTCTCTCTTTGGCCAGTTGGTCCTGGGTAGCCTTCAGTAGCTCTTGTAGTTTGGTTGCTGCCCGGCCCAAGTCCTTTGTTAATTTTTTTTCTTTTTCAAGTCGTTCCTAAAACAGAGCMGTAGAAAGAAGCCATCCACGTGAGCCTGCCCTTGCAGCCTGGGCTGTTTGCGGGTGACACAGGACTTCCCCCACCCCGTCCCACTGGGGCTGAACTAAGGAGTCCTTGGTAACCAAGAGCTGGAGGCACCTCCAGCTCCCTGCACAAATCCAGGAGATGCCTGGRCTAAGGCAGGCTCACAGGAACGGAATTATTCTCCAATACACGACTGGGCCCAGGACTGGGCATCATCCCTAGCAAGCGAAAGCAGCCGGCTTGGGGCATCATCCCCATCTCCTTCTCAYCAGCCAACTCAGACCTAGGACCGCGATTTCCATCCTGCTTCACCCTTTGGCCATGCCGAGGCTTGCAGGGAGGCCTGGAGCCTGGGAAGCATCCACGTAGTTCCCAGCAAAGACGGACCATGTGTGCAGCCCTGCTCCGCCAAGGCTTTGCTGCCGTGCCCCAACATCCAGCMCAAGAAACCAGGGCAGCCAAGTCACCTTGAGATGCTGGGCCTCCTCCGGGTCCGACGCCGCTGCGTTTTCAGACAGTCTCAGCTTTTCCAGCTCCGCTTGCAAATGGCATGCTGAGTTTTGAGCCTGGAAGAGGGAAAGGTGTTTGTTTAACAGCTCATGGCAGTCAGGATCTCCCACTGGAGAAAGTAAAGCGGACACTGGGAAASGGGCACCCTGAGGGTCCAGCAAGTATTTGCAGAGCAGCTTTGGCACTGCCGCCACAAGAAGTTGCCTTTGCTCTAGGGGCATGAGGCAAAGCRTGGCAAAGTCTTAAATGATGGAAAAACTCAGATTAGTCAATTCAAAGAAGTTGACCCTTCTTTGCATTTGGACTGGGGGTAAAGCTGTGGGATGCTCCACATCAGAGCAGGGACTGCAGATCCAGCCTCGCCCCGAATTCCCTCCTCGCCCCATCCCAGACTTACTTCTTCCAGCTCCAGCACCAGCTTCTGCCTCAGCGCCTGCTCCTTCTCCACCTGGGCTTCATTTTGCTCTAGCTGAGTTTTCAACTGCATTGGGAGAAATAAAAAGAAAAAAAAAACAGAAAAAAATATATTAAAAAGAAAAACCTCTAAGAGACAGAGATGAGTGCATGGAGACATTACCATGAAAGCTGGGCTACATAGAAGAAACAAAAACAGAAGGCCCGTGGACACCCAGATACACCCTCCTCTCCACACCAAAGCTGAGAGGATGATGATGGTGGGCCCAGAGCTCAGTTTGGCTCTGCCAAATGGTGCCCGCTCACCAGGCGGCACGAGCCGGGACTTGGGACAGGAGGCAGAAGGTGRCAGGGGACGTGTCCAGCCGGCGGCCACATGCTGCCAGGCGCATGGGGCCGGGACTGTGGTGGGCGCGCGGCGCAGAGGACGAGCGCGTGCGGAGCGAAGCCACGTGCACGTTTCCATGCTGTTAGAGACAGGGACACRGGACACGGTTAAGGGGGGCAACGCCTTCCCGGGCTGCCGTCTCACCGCCCTAACCTCGAGGGGCGCGGGCTGGCCTGGGTCAGTATGTGACCCCACTACTCCATCCTGCGCGTGGCTCTTCATGTCACCCAACTGCTGCCTGACCTGCAAGGAGGACGCGCGAGACCGGCTCAGTTATGCAACCGTGGGTGGCAGACACTGCAAGACCAACCAGGACCTACGGACAATGCTCGTTGGGTCTTTTTTTGCTTGCGTGTTTGGAAAAAAACATCTCTGATTCAGCTACACACATTGGGCAGTTGAAGACGTGGCTCCCAGGTGTGCAGACCTAGTTCAGAAGGGCGGCAGCACCCACAAAAGCGGCACCCAAGGTACCACCTAGTGCAAGCAAGASCTTTGGATGGGAACATCTCCCGAGCCTCTGCTCACTGCAGTGGGATGCTAAGGGACAGCTAGACCTCGTAG